GTCATGTAAGTGTTCCAGTGTGTGTGTGTGTGTGTGTGTGTGTAGCAGGAGTGGTTAACACAAAGTTTATACACAGAGTTGCATCTTATCAGTAAACTGATACAATAGGGAAAGAAAAATATGGAAAAAGGAGGGATGCCTGCATGATAGATTTTCTCTTGGAGGCTTAGGTCTAATAGCATTTATCAGTATTTGTGAGAAGCCTTGGCACTGGTCCCTCCAAACTCCCCAATCCAAGTGCCAAGATGCTGGTTTGTTCAGGTATTTCTATGATCATAAATTGGAGTTAATAATGGGCCTGGCATGGTTGATGTACATCATGATTCAGACTCTGCTTTAGATATTCATTTTATTTTCACATCCTCACTTTGGAATACTATTAGTTTCAACCCATAAAATATCTATTAAAAGTCTATATTTTATTGAGATTCTGAACAGCCACAAGGCTACTTAGAACTACAGAGGTTGTAGCCCAAATTATTCCATTAAGACCACATGAATCTTATGATGAAATAAAATCAGAAGGCTGGCTGCCTGCACTCATGCCAACTGGAGTCTGGCAAAAGCTCATAGTCACTGCTCAATGGCGACCTCTGAGCTTTTGAGCTAGAAAAGTACCAAATGCTACTTTCCAGTAGAGTCCTTTTGAAAGACAATTACAGACTTGCTGTTAAGCATCTATGAAATAGCCCAGTAACTAAAGGATGTAAGATTATTTTAAGACCTAAAATATCCAGCATGTTAATGGTGATTTTAGAAAAGTTGATTTCAAGAAGGATAATGTCCAAACACGTTCCATCCTTAAATGGATATTTGGGAGTATGCCACTGAGAATTTCTGTGGGAGGAACTCAATGTATTAACAAGCAAATAGTTTGTTTTCCCCTGGGGCTTACTACAGAGCCTCCTGAGGAAGATTTGCCTTCTCTTATGTGAACTTCTGCTGATGCTCAAACACATAATAAAATTGCCATATTTGCCAACAGGAAAGGCAGGATTTTAACTTCTTTTGGAGAACTATTCCCAGGAGAGGAGGTCTTCAAATATCTGGTAAGTAGATTACATTGTCCCTTTACCTATTATTTGGAGAAATTAAACTTTGGTAGGATTGGCTTCATATTCTAGGTTTAGCTTCACAGTGGATAAATCCAATGCTGCTAGTACTATCAGAAAATTGTAACAATAGCAACAAATTTGGCTTTTCTAATTACAGTTCATCAGATCAGACTGTGGACTCATTCACTACATTGCTTATACAGTGAAACAACAGGCAAAGAAACATCACATTCAATAGGCTTATATTTGCTTATATCATAAGTGTATGTATATATACTTATATATAATTTACCCTCAAAGTAATGGGTTTAAAAATTGTAAGAGACAATTATAATGTCTTTTAAAAAGTGAGTGGTACTAAGTGATTAAAAGGCTGGTCCACAAAATTACAGCATTGTGCTTTGTTACTTAAGTGAGTGGGGCTAAAGGTAGATCTCCAATACAACACTGGTTAACTAATGGCTCTCAAACTAAGAATAAGCATTTTGTCCTAAAACACCTTGCTATGGATCTGGGGTATAAAGTCTGCTGTGAGGGTTAACTTCTTCCGGTCTGAAATTGGTCTGAGTTTATTTTACTTTAGTAAGAAATGTGCCTGTATGACAATGACCTCTGGTTAAGGCATAAAGTCTGCTGATTATTAGTAGTAGAAAACATGATTACTGTTTTTTAACCATGAATGGAGAAGTTTCAGGGCAAGCTTCTTGGTATTGTTGGTATTGTTTGTTGCTAACAGTGAAATGAATGAGTTATATCCAGTCTGAGACTCAAAAGGATTTTGTCATTGAAGGTGACAAGTAATATACTTGAGAAACACTGGTCAAGAAACCATATCAGGTTCCTTTGTTCTACGATGGTCCATGTTCATACTGGTGGCCCCTGATTCAGGAGACAGTATGTCTAGATGGCCCATAGAGAGAGATAACAAATGGAGCTCAGTCTTGGCTGCCCTGGTCCACTTGCTGTGGTGCCTAGCCTTACTTTAATACTATTGCTATAGTGTCTCTTTCCTGCCATGAACAGTAGATTAATAAGCATTGTCATTTCGAGTCCTTCCAGTCTTCTTTATCAATCAACCTCATTTAACTGTTTCTGTTAGTGCACTAAGTGATGGGAATTTGTTTTTTTTTTTTTTAATGTGATTCTATCTCATAGAAAATCCTATACATTGACAAAATCTGAGGTTATTTTCCTGGACTGTTGGGTGGTATACTTACATAGTTACAAGTTGCTATGCTCTTCCGATCCATGAACTTTATTTTTTAAATTTATTTTTAAAGGTAACATTGGTTTACTTCACTGTATATGATTCAGAAGAATAGGTTTATATACTTACTCAGATGTACATTACCACACCCAACCTTTGAGCTATATTTTTATTTTATTTTATTTTTTTTTAAAGATTTATTTATTTATTTTATATAAGCATTGGGTATAGTCAGAAGCGTGGGAGGGTGAGAGAATTCACCAGAGCCAGAGCGGGGAGCAGAGCAGGCAGACTGACGAAGCACACTACTGAGGGGAGCAGCGTGCGGCAGGAGAGGTCTGCGCGCCATGTGGGACCCTCCTCTGGCCGGGAAGCAGCCGGGGATCAAACTGGCGCTGCAGAGGCTGCAGGCAGCTTTGCAACCCAGCGCTCAACCACTGCGCCACCGGGGAGGCCCTGAGCTATATTTTTAAAAGGTGATTATTACTGAAGAAACATCTTGCTTTTTACTAGGAAATAGACACCTTCCCTATAATGTCAATATTAGACTTTTCAGATAAAATTAAATTCTTTTTGCTGGCATTGGGTTTTTCCTAATATGCATAGCTGTTTCCTCTAGACAGTAAGTTACAAAGGGATTGGTGTTACCTAGGATGAGTGGTAATCTGAACTTGTTGGTATGATCTGGATACCTGACATCTGCAGATAACAGCAGATAGCAGTCCTCTACCTGCCACAGATCACAGAAGAAGCCACTAGATTGCAGTGAGTGCTAGAGGACAGATAGAAAATCAAAAGCATCGTAAACAAGGCTGCATGTGTCTTCACAACCTTGACAAAAGTGCATTCCCACAGCGGTGTCACAGTGAGCTCTCTTTGTTGAAATAATTGTCTTGTTTAGTAACAATGCAAAAGACCAGTGAAAAGGACAAAGTGGCAGAAGGTGTCTAGCATGGCTTTGCCAACGGCGTTAAACTGTGATACTGTGTTGAACCCACAATGCCTTTACACATTCAGATGTCACAGACACTTGGAGCTCAGGATAAGGCCTAGAAGGTCTGGCCATATATATCCCCTGGGAATTATTAGTGGACATGTGGGAGGGGAGGACCTGCACAGACAAGATCACCCCAGATTTTGGAACAGAAAAGGCCCAAGGACAGGACCCTATGAACATTCACCTTTAAGGGTAAGAAAGAGACAATCCAGTGAAGGAACTGGAAAATTAGTAAGAGGATGACAGAAACCCAAGAGAAGAGAGATCTTCAAAGGAATCATAAAACCCAAGTATCCACTGTAAATGATTCAGATCAGGGATATCATCAGTACATTTCAGGGATACAATGAAAAACAGATAGCAGGAGACTGGGAAGTAAAATAAAAGGTAAAAAGTAGAGGGAGATGCATTCTTCCTAGAAAGTTAGCTCTAAAGGAAAATGAAGTTTTATTTTAAACATGGTTTTAGGGCCTCCCCCGTGGCGCAGCGGTTGAGCGCTGGGTTGCGAAGCTGCCCACGGCCTCTGCGGCACCGGTTCGATCCCCGGCTGCTCCCCGGCCACCAGAGGAGGGTCCCACATGGCGCGCAGACCTCTCCTGCCGCCCGCTGCTCCCCTCAGCAGTGTACTTGGGTCCTTCTGCCTGCTCTGCTCCCCGCTCTGGCTCTGGTGAATTCTCTCACCCTCCCGTGCTTCTGACTGTACCCAGTGCATATATAAACAAAACAAACAAACAAATAAATAAATAAATAAAACATGCCTCTATAAAAAAAAAAATAAACATGGTTTTAAGCATGACTATTTGCTGGGGGAGGGAGGAAGCTACACACTCAGACACACAGAGGCCGGAGTTATAAGCAAGATGATAATTGATATAGCACGTTTCTCAAAGAGAGAAAGATTAGAATCAAAGGACAGTTGTGTGGATTAGACCTGATCAGAAGCTCACCTGTTTCTGCAGCAGTGAGAGAAGTGTCCCTTTGAAGAGGGTTGAGAAGTAAAGACAAGTGATGAGATCAAGTCTGGCTTTTCTCTTTAGAAGCTTAGCTAAAGGCAAGGAGAGAAAAGACTTGAACCAGAAAATGCAAATGCAGATAAATCTATAGGGGATTGGAGCTGAAAAGCTAAGAGGACAGACACATAGCGGCCTCTATTTTCCCTGTGGAGGAAAAAAAACCCCAGTATCACCAGATAAGAGAACAGAGTGAAGATTTGGAGTTGCCACTGAGGAGAATGTAGAGGAGTATATAACAGAATTGTTGGCCTGTTATTAGCCTGGGGATATATAACCCAAGTGTGTGTACTAACCCACACAACTGTATAGATTCCTTAAGCAGGATTCAGTGCACGTGTAGAACTGATAGGTGTTTCTGTGGTGGACAAAAAAGGACACCACGATACAAAGGAGTGAAATGACCAAAAGCTACGACTTACTTCAATGTGCATCTCCCTCCACTCACCCTTCCCCTCTATTTTTCAGGTTAAAACATTTTGCTAGAAACAGAGACTCTTTCTTTTCTGGGGTCTGGAATTAATCTCTTATATTCAGAAGATATTCCTGAATGAGTGAATCAATTAAGTAAAGTTTAACTGCTACACATTTCTGAATTCAATTTCTAAATTTAAGCTTTTATCTACTAGGGATGAATATATCAGTTATTTCAGAGCATTAAAATTCTGTCCCAACAGCTATATTCCTATAATTAAGTTAATTCAACTGATGCCGGACTCTGATAAAGTCATTTCTGTAACACAAAAGTTTATTAGAATAAAAATACATGTATCCAACATTAAGATTATTTCTCATTGCATGTGGGTTGTATCTCCATTAGTTTTTTTTTTAATACTTTTAAAGTCTGCATTTTAAATAATTTGCATATCTGTTAACAAACCTTAGATTACCAATGATGCAATGTATCTATCAGATAATAAACATCAAAATTAAGGGATGGGAAGTGATGGTTCTATCTACTGCACTAAATATTTCTGTGAATTTTTGGAAAAAGAAGAGAGATTAAAATATATCAATTGAACTAGGGTAAACTGCATGAAAAAGTTTTTAGTGGCGAGTATCACGAAATGTTCAGATGAGAATATTAAAAACATTCAAGCAAATTTCACTTAAATGTTTGCATAGTCTAAGTTATTTTTATAAAACAAAAATAATTAAAAATTACCAAAATTCTTTATTAGAAAAAGAGACAATTAGCTGGTTCTACTCAAGATCTGCATATGTTCTAAGTCTTTTTCTTATTCAGAAAAAAAGAAGTGATACAACATTCACAAATCCAGTAAACAGGGAAAAAAATGAAGATTAGGACCAACATTTCAAGCTGCCTTTTGGAAAGAAAATTAAAAACAGAGGTAGATGGTTAAATATTAGCGGCCAAGTTATACAAATGTCTAATTTCTGGCTTGGTAAATATATTCACTAAATTTTACAGCTGAAGCCAAATAGTAAATAAATTTAGGAATACAGAGTAAGACCTAGCACAAGTTATTTTCCTTATATCAAAGAAAAGTAATAAAAATAAACCAGGCTTAAGACCCCTGTTAAGAATATGATTGTTTAAAGCACTACAGTTCATGCATGTTTTAAAGCAAGAGAATGAACCTGTCCCTAAGCTTCCTAGGTTTATTTGCGGCCCAGCCACAAGCTTCAGCAGGCCTGGTCAATCAAAGTAGGACTGTAGAGTGCCTCGGCGCCGGATATCACAGGTCCAGCAGTGGAAGCCTCCTCCCAGGGAATTGGCATTACGAATGTTAACCTTAATGGTACTGATACCTGCAATGAAAGAGAGACATGGCTGGTTAGATGAACTCACAAGAAGATTCTCCTACAGAAAATCAGTCTAAAGATGGGTAGGAATTCTTAAGTCTCACCCAACCCAGGGTTGTCTTTAGTTTTATTTTCGCCCATTACATTTTATTTATTTTTTTAAAGATTTATTTATTTATGCATATAAGAGCTGGGGTACAGACCAGAGGTGTGGTTGAGTGAGAGGATTCACCAGAGACAGAGTGGGGAACAGAACAGGCAGACTGATTGAAGTACACTGCTGAGCGGAGCAGCGGGAGAGTCAGGAGAGGTCTGCTGCGCCATGTGGGTCACCTCTCTGGCCGGCTGGGGGATCGAACTCATGCTGCAGAGGTTCAGACAGCTTCACAGGTTGCGTCTTAACCCCTTGTACCACCAGGGAGGCCCCCAATTACATTTTATTTAATCCAAAGTCTATTTTGTGCTACTGATTAGTCACAAGCCAATAGGTTAGATGAGCAGATATTTCTGCCAAATGTTCAAAAATGATCAAATATTAAAATTTCAAGCCCTTTTAGGATTTTGCTTTAACTACTTTGTCAGACTATTTTTAATTTCAACATTGTCAATGTAGTGTAGTAGAAAACTATAATTTAGCCAAACTAAAAAGCTGACTTTACCTACTCAAGTATAAGCAGAGTTTATCTGTCAGGATTCACATTACTAGACCACCTAAGAAAACAATGGAACATAACTCGTATTTTAATAATCTGTTTTGTGTGGTCATACAGGTACCATAGCTACTCAGACCATTAGTTTAATCAGGCACCATTTTGTACTTATGTGACAGTTATATGCGTAGTCTAATCAACCAATGGTATTAGGAAGGGTCTACTGTTTGGCACAGTGGGACTTTAGAAAATCTAGTCTCATCCCTTAAGGAACTCATTGTTTTGAGGGGAAAGATAAGCTACCAAGTCACTAAAGGATCCGCAGGTATGGCCAAGGAGTGAGAGGCAGCAGGAGCCACTGGGAAAGCCTTCCTGAGAAGGTGAGAGTAAGCAGAGCTATGAAAAGCAGGAGTAGGGTTCGGACACAGGTAAGGGGTCGGCTTGGGGTAAAGAGTGGACTTGTAGACATAAGCATATATTTCCTGATAGAAAGATGTATCTGTCTTAGTCAGATGTTTAGAGTCTTATTAATCCTGAATTGATTGATAAATTCCCTGTGTCTAAAAAGACTCTATTAAAAATAAAATTATAAATCAGATATTTGATAATGATATTTGAAGTTGAGAAACAATAAAATATTAATGGTCAAAGAACATCAACCTAAGCAATTGGATTAATATTTAACAGAAGCCAGAAAAAATTTAAGATAGTATTAGGGGTCAAATCAGCAGACTGGGCTCATTATATTTTTTATTTTATTTTATCTTTTTGGAGGGGGGCTCATTTTAAAGCTGACAGGCCAATCCTTTTAAACTGATTCTACATTAAAGAAGGATGTGTCAAAGGGCAAATAATTTCTTCTGGGTAGTACACCCAGAATATAAGACATAAATCAAAACATGATTCCATTTCAACAAGTATAATGCCTAGATTTATTTGATACTTAGCATATGTTAAGTATGTTAAGAGTGATAAATATACATACTTCTGACTAGAAAAGTCATGTGAAAATTCTTTCTTTTAATATTTCCCTCAGTATTAGAGTAACTGGTCTAAAGTTTTAATATCAGCATAAGCAAATACCCACCCAAATGAAAAACAATTTGCCTTTTAGTTTAATGTTAAATAACTTACTAACAACCCAGTATTACATTCATGACTCTGTTGACTATACTTAGCACACGTCACTTCTTTATCTATACCTTGATAAGTCCTTTAAAATATGTCATGACAATCAAGTTACCTTTAAAAGACCCTCAATAATTTTACTTGGGGAAGGGCTAATAACCTGTGTGCTCATCTGCAAAAGGGTAGTTCACACATGGGCACCAGGAGGTCAGGTATGCCACAGAAGATTGATAAAGTTATTGCTTAGGGGGTGTCTAAGAAGACTGGGTGCATCTCCAACCTTTTGAGAGTATGACTGTTGAAAATGAAAATGTTACCCATTATAAAATATCAATAATAGCTTAGTATCTCGGAAAGGAATAGAAATTGAATTAGATAAGTCATACATGAGAACTAGCACATTATTTCTTCAGTTCTTCTCATTCAACGTTTTCATGTATAACAACATGTTTCAGTATTGTACATACCCAGCTTTTCAAACATCTTTTGAATTGGGACTTCATTGGCATCCACCATAACACGCTTTTCATCTAGCATTAAGACATTCATAGAAAGCCATTTGGATGACATCCAGAGTGGGTGATCTAAAAACAGCAACAATCATAAACCATGTCTGCTATCAATTTTGTTTAAAGCAAGGATTTGAAAGTGGAGAAATACCTACACTGAAGTGACAACTCAGTTCTTTCAGTGGTTCACTTTCCCAGTGGAACTTTATTTTATTTTTATTTTTTTTTTAAGATTTAGGAACTTCCTGGTGGCGCAGGGGGTTGAGCACAACGCTGTGAGGCTGTCTGCGGCCTTTGCAGTGCAAGTTCAATCCCCAGCCAGCCGGGAGCAACCCACATGGAGCAACCCACATGGCGCGGCAGACCTCTTCTGTCTCGCCAGCTGCTCCCCTCAGCAGTGTGTTTCGGTACATCTGCCTGTTCTGCTCCCCACTCTCTCTGGTGAATCTTCTCACTCCCCCATGACTCTGGCCTGTACCCCACTTCTTAAAAAATATTAACAAATTTTATTTTTATTTATGCATACAAGAACTGGGGTATAGGCCAGAGGTGTGGGAGGGTGAGAGGATTCACCAGACACAGAGTGGGGAGCAGAACAGGTGGATTTACTGAAATACAGTGCTGAGGGGAGCAGCGGGTGAGTCAGGAGTGGTCTGCTGTACCATGTGGGTAGCTCCCTGGTCGGGGATCAAACTTGTGCTGCAGTGGCTGCTGATTGCCTCATAGTGCTGTGTCTTAACCCCTAACACCACCAGGGAGGCCCAGGACTTTATTTTATCTTAAGATGACTGATCTGTATATGTTATAAATCAATACATACTCATTACACTATTGGATTTCATCTTATTTCCTTTTTAAAAAGTCAATTCTTGCTATGGGATGTCATTTTATACTGATTTCCCCCATATTCTCACTTTCATTTTCTATGGAAGGAGAGGTTGCAAACACAAGTTTAGCCTTATTCTAGTATAGTCCCAAGCACTAGATTACTCCTGACTGGGGACACATTACATCTAAATTACTAAATATTTGGCTGCTGTCTATAGGTGAAAGGTTCTCAGTGACTGAAATAATCACTTTAGTCTGTGAGCATATGAAAGAAAACATACCATCTGGGATGACTGGTATTGGAGGAGTAACTATGGTCCATCCTGCTTTCTTGAAAAGATCGATCTGCATGACCAAAAACAAAGCAAAGCAAAAGCTCAAAGAGGGTTAAACCTGCAAGTATTGTAGTTATCATTCTTGTAATTATATCCCTTATGATTAGTAATTCTTTTTGAGATGCTGTCTTCTGAACTGCTAGAATTAAAAAAAAAAAATTAAAATTTCAAAATAGATCATTAGAATTCAATAGAATTCAACCATCTCTATTTTCACATACCCATTTAGTATATCAATAAACTGTATAAAATATGAGTATATCATCTTGGTACTGGGTCTACTATATGAGATACAAATGAATGTACAATGTTTGGTGCCATGGCAGAAAAGAGATTTTTAAAAAGTATACTGGGGCCTAGAAAACAACACAAAATACTCACTCCCCAACAGGAAGTAGGGGCAGTGGGCAGGAGTAGGAGGTTGCAGGTGACAGAGACAGACAAGCTGTAGTGCAGCAGCTCTGTTCTTCCCTGCAGGAAAGGGCTGGCCACAGGAGGCTTGACCCTGTGGAGAAGGAGAGATACCCACTGCCCAGTGGTATTGCCCTATGCATGCAGCATTCATCTTATTTGCAATTTAGCTGATGTGGAACCTCAACTACAAGAGATAAGATAATACCACTGTGATTAAAAACAGGTACATACACACAAATGTGAGGCTTTAGTAGTGAGAAGTAGTCAAAGTCTGATGACACCATACTAATTCTCATGGCTACAATGTATATTTGCAAATGTGGGGCATCTTGTAAATAAGCAATCCAATGTTTGATTATAATGATTCTGACACTGCTGACACTGCTGAATTTGTCATTTTGAACCATTCAGAACAATAAAGAACTATGGAAATATTTAAAATATAAGTGGCAATTATTGCAGTTGCTTTAAGAGATTTCTAAGAATTCTCTTACCTGATGACATGGTCGATCAGGGTTGGAAAGAACAAGACCAGGTCCAATGATGTTGAAGGTGGCATCAATATGCATTGGGTTGGGATCTTTAAAAGAGATGATATGCACTCTATAGTCTGGAGCAAGATGTCTACGCATCCATTCAATGCCCAGGTAGTTTGTAACCTGCAAGTAAAAGGAAGGCACAAATCTATAAAGATTTGGTTCTATTTTAGAAAACTAAAAATATTTAGGATGAAAGTATTTTAATTGGAATATTTAAAAAAAACCCAGAATGTTATTTTTTCAAAAGCATTGTCAAAAGCAGCCTTTATCAAACCTGGCTTCTCTGGGCAAAAATATCTCTTCCAGCTCGAATAAAGTCAGCAGCATCAAAGCATGGCTCAAACTCAGTCGTCACAAATTTTCCCTGAGCAGCCAATTTGTGTCTATCTTCTACAGAATGGATGGGGTAATCCTAATTGGAAAAAGAATGAGCACACACAATGCACTGGTTGTAAGGAAATTCTACAGGAGATTCATTACTAAGAAAATTAGTTCAACATCATCACTTCTCAAAATACTACTATCCTGTCCTAGACTTAGACACACATAGGAAAGAGTAGACCAACAATAAAAAAATATTTTTAATAGTAGGCATGATAGCAATTTCCTGATACTTTGCTGTGTCCATCAATGAATAGCTGTGTGCCTTTAGGCGAGTTTTTCTCCCTGGAATAAAATGATATTGCTGCCTCATGGGGTTGTTGTGAGAAATAAACAAGGCTGAGGATATAAATAAAGCACTTAGCTCAACACCTGGCACAAGGTGGCACCAAATAAAATGTTAGCTATTATTACTATTTATTATTATCACAGTATTATTTACTCTTATTTTAATCATAAAACAATCATTTTCTTCTTTTTAAGGATTTATTTATTTATACAAGAGCTGAGGTACAGGCCAGAGGCGTGGGAGGGTGAGAGGATTCACCAGAGACAGAGCAGGGAGCAGAACGGGCAGATGGACCAAAATACACTGCTGAGGGGAGCAGTGGGCGAGATAGGAGAGGTCTGCCACGCCATGTGGGTATCTCCTTGGCTGACCAGGAATCAAACCCGCACTACAGAGGCTGTTGACAGCTTCACAGCGCTGTGCTCAACCTGCTGTGCCACTGGGGAGGCCCAAAACAATCATTTTCTTAGAAGTAGGTAATTTTCTCAGTTTCTGAATATATAACAAATACAAGGTATCAGAGAATATCTCAAACTTTATTTAGGAAATTACTAATAAGCCTTATAATTAGAAACTTACCTGGTCATAAAGCTCATCAGCCATTGTGGGCTTAGGAGCTGTTGTCCACTTGGCTCCACGGTGGAAGTAGTCTTTGATAATGGATCGATATGCACGGTACTCAAAGAAGCGAGCGCGCCACGCCATGGGAGCCTCAATAATCTCATTCCCCACAACAATCAGGATGTCTCGAGGCATTGCCCCATATAAACCTGTCAGAGCCAAAAATTTCCATAGCAACCTCAGTGTAGGGATGATGAATCAAAAAAAAGAAGCAATACAGTTTTGTTCAAAAGAGGTCTTGAACCACCAGGTTTTCTCTTTTAGTAAGCTCCTTCCTTGAAACACAGAAATAGAGTTCTTCAGAGAATGTCAGTATCACAAGATAGAAATTGGGCCAGGGATCAATTCTAGAACAATAAATTAAAACTAAACTCAGGCACAAAATCAATCTTGTAGCACTGTCAATTAATAATAAAATGGGAAAGTCTCTGTTCCCCTCCTAACTTCTGTTCTTGAGGAAAATCAAATGAAATCCACTGTTCTAACATAAGGAAATGTCCATAAGGTTTAGAAAAAGCGCTTCTTCGAGACATGCCATATTTAAACAGGAAATTCTGCGCCCGTCTGGACCTCACCAAAGCTCTTGTGTGGAACTGAGAAAGGGCTGTCCACACAGTCAGAAGTGAGCTGAAGGTCCCCACCAGCCAAGCTCTGCCTGGCAACGAGTTGGAGCCCAGAGGGGGATCCAGCAATTTGGTACCCAGCAGGCGATCCAGCCACCGCCAGGGTAGTCTGTGGGACTTCAAGACCCACCTCTGGAATTAAACAAATACAGAAGGAGGAGATTTTCAGGGACAGCGACCATTAACATAGCCATAATACCACTGCCCTACTGGACTTCTGGCATAACGGTATTGGACTTGATTGGACCACCAGTTCCCAACATCCCAGAAAGAGCACACCAAAGAGATGCCGGCCAGTACCAGTGACACAGTGTCCCAATACATAGGACAAATTAAAAAACAAGCAGCAGGGAGAAGAAAAATTATAAGCAGCCAAGCACGTCCCCAGGGAAAAGATACACCACAAAAAGTCAATCAAATCCCAGTGACTTAGAGGAACTTATGAGTATTCCCAATAGAGAGTTTAAAATCACCATGATTAAAAAACTGAAAGAAGTTGAAAATGATATGGAAAAAATAACGATCAGAAGAATGAAATTGAATCCCTAAAGAGGGAAGTGAAAGAAATGCAGGAAACCAAAGGATTAATGGAGGTGCTAAAGAACTCTGGGAAAAGCAATGAAAGCAGCAAAGATGAAATGGAAGAATGAATAAGTACTTCTGAAGACACAGAAATAAAAAGAACCAAAACAGAAAAAGAAAGAGAAGTATGAAGGAAAAAGAATGAAGAAAGATTTGGGAACTATCTGACTCCATGAGGAGAGGAAATATAAGAGTTATATGAATCCCAGAAGGAGAGGAGAAAGATATAGGAACAGAGAAAATATTCAAGGAAATAATTGAAGAGGACTTCCCAAACATGAAGAAGGAGCTGAAAATGGACATACAAGAAGCAAGAAGAACACTAAACTTTCATGATGAAAGAAAAAATACAGCAATATTAAAGCTCCCACGAATCCAAGACAAGGAAAAAATAATGAAGCTGACAAGAGGGAAGAATATATAACATACATATATAATATATATGTATATAATACATATATAATATATATGTATATAATATATATGTATAATACATATATAATATACATATATAATACATATATAATATATATGTATATAATACATATATAATATACAAAGGAACACCAACCAGGCTGACGTCAGACTTCTCCGAAGAAACACTATGTGCAAGGAGAGAGTGGAGGGTCATAGCCAACAAACTCGAAGACAACAAATGCCAACCAAGTATACTCTATCCCACAAAGCTTTCCTTCCTCTATGAAGAAAGAATAAGGACCTTCCCAGACAAACAGAAACTCTGGAATTTCATTACAACTAAGCCCCAACTCCAAAAAATACTACAAGGAGTCCTAAAGCCAGAACTAACAGAGGGATGAATAAGAATGAAACAAGACAAAAATAAAAAATTAAATAAATAAAACCAGAGAAAAGACAAACAAAATGGCAAATACAGATGTTGACATATCAATATTAACTTTAAATGTAAATGGACTAAACTCTTCAATAAAAAGACACAGAGTCACAGGCTGGATTAAGAAACAAAACCCATCCTTTCGCTGTCTCCAGGAAACACATTTAACTACAAAAGATAAAAACAGACTGAAAGTAAAAGGATGGAAAACAATCCTACAAGCAAATGGACCAAAAAAGAAGGCAGGAACAGCTATACTTACATCAGATAAAACAGATTTCAAACTCAAAAAGATAAAAAGAGACCCAGATGGTCACTACATTATGATCAAAGGGACAATATATCAAAAAGACATAACACTCATTAACATATACTCACCAAATGAAGGAGCACCAAAATATATCAGACAACTATTATCATCTCTGAAAACAGACATCAGAGAAAGGCCATAAATGACAAGCCCATAGCCAATATGCAGTAGGAGACTTCAACACACCACTATCAACTATGGATAGATCAATGAAACAAAAAATAAGTAAGGACACTAAAGCTCTAAATAAGGATCTAGACCTCATGGGCTTAACAGACATCTTTCATCCAAATGAAAGAGGAGAACTCACAACAGACACAGTAGAAATCCAAAGAATAATCAGAAACTACTATGAACAGTTATATGCAAACAAGTTCCACAATCTGGAAGAGATGGACAAATTCCTACAACTTTACAATCACCCAAAGCTAGATAAAGAAATAGAACACCTAAACAGACCAATTACAAGCAGTGAAATTGAAATGGCAATGAAAACTCTCCCCCAAAACAAAAGCCCGGGACCAGATGGATTTACAAATGAATTCTACCAAAAATTCAGAAATGAACTAGTGCCTATCCTTCACAAACTCTTTCCAAAAATTGAGAAGGAAGGGATAATAACAAACACGTTCTATGAAGCCAACATTACACTAATACCAAAACCGAACAAGGACAACACAAAAGAAGAAAACCACAGTCCAATCTAATGAACACGGATGCAAAAATCCTCAATAAAATTTTAGCTAACAGAAGCCAACTGTGTATCCATAAGATAATTAATCACGACCAAGTAGGATTCATTCCAGGGACACAAGGATGGTTCAACATCTGAAAATCAATCAGTGTAATCCAACACATCAACAAAATGCAATAAAAACCATATGACAATATCAGTAGATGCTGAGAAAGCTTTTGACAAAGTACAACACCCATTTATGATAAAGGACCTTGAAATTCTCAGGATACAAGGAACATACCTCAACATCATAAAGGCCACATATGACAAGCCCATAGCCAATATCATTCTCAATGGTGAAAAGTTAAAAAGCATTTCCATTAAGATCTGGAACAAGACAAGGATGTCCACTCACCAATGCTTTTCAATATAATACTGGAAGTCCTAGCCAGAGCAATAAGACAAGAGAAAGATATACAAGGAATCCAAATAGGAAAAGAAGAAGTCAAACTATCACTATTTGCAGATGATATGATAATATACATAGAGAACCCCAAAAACTCCACAGAAAAACTAATTCAACTCATCAATCAGTTCAGTAAAGTGGCAGGATACAAAATCAACACACTAAAATCAATAACCTTCCTATACACAAACAATAAATCTGAAGAAGAAATCAAGAAAACCGGGCCTCCCTAGTGGCACAGTGGGTTGGGCACCATGCTGTGAAGCTGTCCGCAGCCTCTGCAGTGCCAGTTTGATTCCAGCTGGCTCCCACATGGCTCGACAGACCTCTCCTGCGGCGCCTGCTGCTTCCCTCAGCAGTGTATTTCATCTGTCTGTCTGTTCTGTTCCCCGCTTTGGCTCTGGTGAATTCTCTCACCCTCCCACACTTCTGACTCTACCCAGAGCTTGTATAAATAAATAAATAATTAAAAAAAAAAAAAACACAAAAGGGCACCTGCACCCCTATGTTTATAGCAGTACTGTTTACAATAGGTAAGCTATGGAAGCAACCCAAATGCCCAAAAATAGATGACTGGATCAAGAAGAGTGGTACATATACACAATGGAATATTACTCAGCAATCAAAAAAGATAAACTCATGCAATTTGCAGCAACATGGATGGAGCTGGAAGGGATCATGCTCAGTGAAACAAGCCAGAAAGAAAAAGAAAAATACCAGATGGTCTCACTCATAGCAGGAATCTAGAAAACCTAAATAAGGGACCAGGAAAAAACCTAATTATAATAAAGTAAAAATCAAAATCAACAAGCAACTATAAACTAGTGACACACTATGGGGGGGAAGGAGGGAGTAGGATCAAAACAAGGGGGGGTGGGAATTGTATGGGGACTATAACCAAGATGAAAATGCATACATTGTGCAAAAATGAAAAATGATATAAAAATGTATAAAATTACAAAAATTAAAAAAGAGAAAATAAACACACAAAAATTAGTCAGTCCAAGAAGTCCAGAAATAGAATTTTGATCCAATCTTTGTCTTTGCTAATGCCATTATTTATAGAAAACTATGAAGTAAAGGCTGTGTATTAAGAATAAAACTTACTTAGATTGAAAAAAAAGTGCTTCTTTCAAGGAGACTGCAAATGAACCATGTGTACACCTTTACCATGTCAAAAAGAACCAAACTGTTCCTAAATAATCTTTAAAGTTCTGAAGGGCTATTAAAGAAAAGGAATAGAGCTCACAAAGCATCCAGGTTATCTCCTTACACATTAAAAAAAATTAAAAATTCAGACACTAGCAGTTTAGGTATCTGGTATTTCTTACCCGTAGACTCAAAATCAGGAGTTTTATACTTCAATGACCAGTCAATGGGGTCAGGTCTCCTCACTGTCACGCCTTCCATTTTTAAAATATTGCACATTTCTTCAATTTCAGCAACAGCCTTCTTCAGGTGATCTTTGGGAAAATAATGGCCTCCATGCTTTTGGTAAAATGGCCAATACTTTTCATATGTGTTGGCCTAGAAGCAGAAGAAATGTAAATGAAATAGTTACAGGGAAAAAAAATATAACATGCAATAGATTCATAGTCAGTGAACACTGATTTGTATAATATATGAGCATGTCTTATCCCATGTTATTCCCAGCACTGAGCAGGGTTGGTGGTGCAGGTTGGCCTTTGTGCTTTCCACCCTTCTGTCAACGTGTCTCATAACCACACCTCTCACCCCAAATCCAGACAAGCTCTCATACTGCTTCAAGTCCTTTTGTCATAGAAGAAAGTGATCAGGTAAATGAATACACAATTTTCAGTAGCCAGAGAAAAGTTTAACATTTAGCAAGAATCTATGAATTATATGCATTTTAAAAGATGATGCATGGAAAATAGTTGAATGTTCAATCAGTTTGCTAAAAATGACTTAACAACAACTAAATTAATTGAAAGGGTGAAAATGTAGAATTCTTCGTTCAGATTGTTTTGCATATGCCTAAGTTCTCAGTCAATTTAAAGAAATGCACTGGGAAATGTACATGATGCGTATGGATGTATTCATATGCATACATGAATCAAGATAGACGAAGCAGAATTCTAAGCAGAAGATTCGAATGTTAAAACCAAACCAAACCAAACCAAACCAAAAAAAACCCCTTGGACCGTCATCAAAAGATTGGCAAAGCAATGTACCTTTCTATATTTGAAGTTAAAACATTTAAAGCAGACATTTAAAAAAAAATTTCATTATATCGTTGATTAACTGGCCAACTACCAGCTTTGATCAATCATATAAGAAGACTTTCATTCCAAATCAATTTCAGATAGTAAGTGAAAGGAGAAAGGAGAGAAATTCAGAAGGCGAAAACTCAGTAAAGAGAGTGTGACTAGCTGCCTAGTTCTTTAATGTCAAAGACAATGTCTTTTCCAGATTTTCTGCCTCTACCTGCATTTTCACCTCTGTTTGATACAGAAAAGCAGGCCTCTCTCTTATCAGTTCAGTAGTTAACTGGAACTGAGCCTGCTCAATAAGGGATAAGAATTTGAAAAACAAATCTTTAGCAAACACAAAGGATGCCAGAGAAGCTCTAAAACAGGGGTTTGCAAACTAAGTACATAGGTCTATCTGGTCCCCAGCCTATTTTTGTAAATAAAGTTTTATGGGAACACATCTATTTGTAATTGTCTATGGTTACTTTTGCATTACAGTGGCAGAGGTGAGACCTATGGTATGCAAAGTCTGAAATATCTGGGCCGGTACAGGAAAAGTTTGCTGACTCCCTATCCATACTATTAGTTACTTTATTTTGTAAGATCTACAGGCAAACAATAGGCTCAATTTTTGGTTAGCAGTATTACACATCTGAAAACTTTTTAAGATCATTCCATTCATTTAAAAAACAAAGTCAAACAAGATGCATTCCACGGTTTTCTACTCCTAGGAAGTCCTGCAGCAGCAATCAGAAAGAGAGGAAAATAACCACTCTTTATATTCCTCTCAGACACTTCCTGGCACTACTCATCCATTCACCACTTTCTTCTTCTCATGCCAGGCACATCCCTTACAATCCACTAAGGGACAAGAAGGCTTTGAAAAGTTAACACTAGATTACAAGCAGATGCATAGTCATGTTGATCTTGCCGGATGCATTCCAAAGCATCCTGAGTATTTGTGCAGAGTGAAGCTTGCCTGATAATATAAAGTAAACTTTCCTGAGAACAAAAAGTTGTTTGAACAAGTGTAGAGTTCATACTCTGCTGAGGTTGGACAAAGTCCAAATGATCAGGGCACATTACACTTTCCAAGAGATAATTGGAAATTATTTACACTTCCTGATAAATGAGTTAGCAATCATTTACTGTCTGCAACTACATTAAATGCTTACAATATGCTATTTTTAATAATCTATTACCGAGTTGTAGCTGCATTCTTAGAAACTTTATAGTCTTTCAGAGTCTAAAATCCTTAAGGAGGAGCTGTCAAATGAATTTTAAATAGTGTTTTTAGAAGACTAGGAAATTTAGATAGAAACTTCTTATTTATCCAGCTGCAAACTTATATTGTATTAACCTTGACTGACTTTGTATTTTTACAAGAGGTCTTTTATCAAGGGCATTGTTTTAAAAAAAGACAAAAGCAAAACAAAAAGTGTGTATCTGATGAAAGTATTCACTATATTTTGCAAAATAAAAAGTCACATAAATTTTAAAAATTGTGCTTCCTGACAACTACAGTGCTCATTCCCATAAAATTCTTCTAGCACTTACATCTTTTAACATGGCTTATGCTTACTCTAATTTCCTATAAATAGTTTACTATATTAAGTTATCATTCATTATTCTGAAACTGATTAATACTTCTTTACCATTTTTTTCCACTAGAAACTAAGGCCTTGCCTTCTAGGGACCATGCATGTCTTAGATATACTTTCCTTTCCCTCAATGCCTAGTTTAGTACATGGCATAATGCAGAAATAATCAGACAAATTAATGAAATCAATATTGTTAATGCTACTACTATCTACAAATATGAGTTGGGGTTTCATTCTTTAAAATATTTAACATGTAACCTTTTACCTTCATATTTTATCTTGTGAGGTTGATAGCAAACCTCCCAACATCTTCATTTTACTAAAGCCAGGAATTTGTGGAATTTTGCATAAGGTCAAACATCTAATTAACTGAAACTTGCTATCAAGCTTTTATCAAATACCTAATTCAATCCTGGTCTCCTGACTTCCATCTGCCATACATTATGCCAGCCCATGAAATAACAAAGTCTAAAGTCATAAATCAAGTGACAAATAACTCAAAATAATGTCTTGAGAATTCTGATTTCCTAAGATCACATGGTATAAAAGTCCATGTTTTTAAAAACAAGTAGAAGGATAAACTATTGCTTGAACTTGAAATTTAATTTTACTCAATTAAAATGGTTAGGGGATGGGGCATCTTTTCAAAAAAGACTTTAAAAGATCATGCCTTTTTAAAAACATGTGGATGGTAAATAATTTGCCATCAAATTTTAAATGTATGAAAAACAAGGGCAGAACAACTAGAAGAACTTGTTACTTTTCCTTTGCCCCTGTCCTAAAGGTCTAACTCAAGAATCTTTTTTTTTTTTTTTTTGAGAAGACTTCCTAACTCTGCAGCACTTGGTTATTACTTTTTTTTCTTTTAAAGATTTATTTTTTATTTATACAATAGCTGGGGTGCAGGCCAGAGAAACGGGAGGGTGAGAGGATTCACCAGAGACAGCGGGGAGCAGAACAGGCAGACGGACCGAAAGCACTGCTGAGTGGAGCAGCAGGTGCGACAGGAGAGGTCTGCCACACCATGTGGGAATCTCCCTGGCCGGCCGGGAATTGAACCTGCACTGAAGAGGCTGCGGGCAGCTTCATAGCGCTGCGCTAGACCTGCTGCGTCACCGGGGAGGCCCGACTTGGTTATTACTTTTCCTTAGCTTCCTGACACTTCAATTTAACTGTCTTGCAAGTTGGTTGGCATAAATAAAATACTTTAGCATCAGTCTTCATTTCTATGAACATCTTTATTCTATGAACATCTATGCTAATATTTCTGAAGCCCTAATTCAAGGTAGACAATATTTCTGATAATGATAACAATGATATAACAGAACTTATTTCTTTAATCCACATTATAAATAAAAATATAAATAGGAAGAATTGAAATACCTTGAAGAATATATTTGTAAACTATTACAATGGAGCTTAGTCCGTGTCTCTATGTGGACGGCACTCCTTTAGATATGGGACCACATGGAGTATACACAGAATACTAGCTCACAGAAGCCATGGCTATAAGAATATTATACATAAAGAACATTAAGAGTTTCAAAAAGGGTGACATTACTTGTTGTGAGAGAAATTCTTAAGGCTTTCTGGAGATGCCATTGGAGCTTGGTGGTAGTAAGAGGAGTAGGTTTAAACTGCAGACAAGAGGGGTGCAGGAAGAGACCTAGGTGAGAACACAGGCATGAGGCTTGTTTGGGGAACAGGGGACAGTCTAATTTGGTTGCTTATATGATTGTCTCATAAAGTCTGCTAAAGACCAGTGAAATAGTAGAGGTGAGAAGAACTCAAACAAGAATGAACATTTGCTAACCTGCCATAATAATATGTATTTTTAAGATGAGCAATAACTGAAATGGGAAGTCCTAGAAAGGCAGACATGAGCCAGATTGTGAAGGCTCTTGAGAACCAAGTAGTGGGAGACAGAGTAGAATGAGAACATACTAGAGCAGGCTGATGATAAGATCAGATTTTAGCTTAAAAAAAAAAAATCACTGCTAGAAACTGGAAAGTGGTTTGGAAAGAAGAGCGTAAATGGGGGAGACCACAGGAGTTAACTGCAATAATACAGACAGTAGATGAGGTCCTGACCTAAGATAGCAGCAGAGGGATGAAGGCAAGCATCATTTTAACAAAAGATTTGTTCAGTCTTGGGGAACAGATGTGGATAATGCTACTGAAAGAAAAATAAAAGATAATTGTTTGGCATTTTATCTTGAGTAAATAGGAATGCCAAAAACTGAAAGGAAGGAAGAAGGATCCAGTTCAGCAGAGTAGCTGGCAACGGAACACACGATGCACCAAATTTGAGGTCGTGGGGCAATATCCATTAAGAAGTTAAACGCTGGTCTGGACAGAGTTCAGGACAGGAATGTGGACCATAGCGGAGGTGAGAGCTGAAACTGTGAGACCAGCTAAGAGTAGAGGGCCAAAAGTGAAATTCTGTTCAATCCCAACACAATGGACAGTGAAAGAAGATGTAAGGAATAGTGAAAGAACTAGAATCCCCAGAAAAGGCCTCTCATAATCCAAAGGAAAATGTTATCATTTGTGTAAATGGTGTCAAATACTATGGAGCTCTCAAGTATGATAACTTAAAATCAAACACCCGATCTGTGAGGTCCAGAGCAAACTAAAGGGAAAACAATAATAGAGGCGCGTGGGAGCAGAAGCCAGAGTGCAGAAAAGTGAAGCATGAACCCACTTCAGACCTGAGAATACCCCTGGTTTACCTTCACCTCCACCGTGAATGGTGGAACACAGGCGTTTTCCGCTCTGCCCACTATCACTTCCTCTAAGGGGTCCCATTCGTTGTAAGAGGAGACTGGGCAGTCCTTGGGCAGAAGATCTGTGGCCTTGTCATCAGCTGCACAGGAGTTCTGGGAGGAAGCCGCAGCTGCCTGGGTGCTCTGGAAAGTTCGCTGCACCCAGCCTGTGAGAGTTCCTCCAAGCTTCCAAGAACAAAGAAAAGATTATTGTGTAGAACTTACAGTACTTTGTGGGGGGGGGGCGGAAAAAATAAAGGCAGGATGAAAACCTAGGACACCAACGTCAGACATTTAAAATTCTTTAGGAGAGGGTTAGTATATAGTGGGTGGTGGGCTTACAGGTGAGTTTTACCTTGTTTATTTGGACATTATCCTTTTATCTGTTCTGTTAATTAGCATAACTTTTGAAACCCGCTCAGAAGATCTTGTCTCCAACAAAATACAACCCCATTTATATCTCAGAATCGTGTTCTGCAGCCAAGATTTAAATAACTTTTCTGCAGATGATGGGTCACTCTCTTCCCAGAAAATCAAGTTGCTCCAGGCCTCCCTACCAAGTCCAACTCCAGGAGGGAGCCTCTCTTTAGTATCTTTATAAAGAGAGAGCCTCTCTTTACCAATACGAGGCTTTTTTTCTTCCCAAATGAAAAATGCAGAAGCTGTAAACGATCTTATTTTTCAGGATAGTCAGCTTCCATGTAAAAATTTTCACCACGGATACACACTTCCCATTCTTTCCTATTTCAATCCTGAGAGTGAGGAAGGGCTCTCGCCTCTGTTTTCCAGATGGTCCACAGCACCTTGCCAAGATAAGGATTAACCCTGGCACAAATTTAAACAAATAGAAGATCTAAGAACTTTAAAAAACGCCTTTTGAAAATGCAGGGTCTATAAAAATCTAGAACAGGGAGAGTCCCTTACTCCCTGGGCAACCTAACTCCCCCACCCACCTCCCCAAATCTCTATCCTACTCTTAAAAACTTAGGAGGGATGGAGGAGGGGAGAGAGCCAGGGTGAGAACCAAAGCAAGAGCGTGACAGCTGTGCTGGAACCAGTTGCCAAGAGGAGCCAAACTCCCCTTCTATTCTTGTTCTAGCACCTAGGGAGGGTCTGCAGGCGCATGCTTACATACCAGAGAGGCGAGGGTGGGGACCAGGCAGAAACTCAGTACCGAAAGAACTCGCTCCAACTCTTCTCGAGACTCAGCTCTCCATGTTACACTTAAAAGGGGCCTGCTCGCTCCCTCTCGGACCAGGCGCCCCACTTTGCCTCCCCACCTGCCCATCAACCCTACAGGTATTTCCCCCAAAGCTTCCTAACTCTATACCCATTCAGGACCCTGAAACACAGTAACCCCACTAAGAAGGGTCACTCTTGCCCACGCCACCTCCCCCTGGGCCCGAAACTCGGTGGGGCAAAGCAAGCTCCAGCTGGGGAGAGCGGCACCCCTAGTGCTGACCGCCAACGCCGCCCCAGACCCGAGAGCAACTGCGCCCTCGGGGTGGGGCCCCAACGCATGCACCCCTTTCGGGGGACACCGCCAAGCTCCCGGCTGCCAGCAAAGGCTCTTTAAGCCGAGCTTCCAGGGGGGGGATCAGAAGGGTCTTTGTCCTGCAATTCTGGCGCAGGGAAGCGAGGGAACGCAGGGGTGAGCACGCGACAGCCGCTCCAGGGGCTGGCACGCACCCGAGACCCGATGTAGTGCACCGCCTCCGCGCCTCGGCTCCCGCCGCGCAGACACCGCACCCGCAGCATCGCCCCGCGCCCGGCTGGTCCACGAGCGGAACGTCCCGGCGCTCGGCCAAGCCCGTGAGAACCTCCCGAGAGCGCGCCCCGAGCGCGGTGTGCGGGCGCGCGGCCGGCGGCCTTTTGTAGCCTCGCCCCGCCCTGGCCTCTCCCTCCTCCCTGCTGCTCCTCCCCACTCCCGCGCCCCATTGGCTGCGGGAACAGGTGGCAGGGCCAGTTCAGAGGGCCACCCCGAATTAGGAGCTGTCGGGGGAAGCGGGGTCAAGTCTCTCGGCTTTGCCCTTTTTTAGCTTGTCAGTGCACCGACTGGCTTCTGATGCGCTCTGCTGAGCCGGCTGGGGTCTGAGGAAGACCCACTAGGGTCTCAGGGAATGGAGAAGACCCGACTTGTAATCTTTAGAGTAGATACATATATTGTTTCAAATATAGTTTATGGATTTAAATATGCAAAGCATGAGTACAGCCACACGTCTGCATGCATGCAGGTGCATCGACCTACTCGGTCACTCCAAAGTGAAGGTGGTTTTGTTAGGGGGAAAAGGATGTCCTAAAGCTAATTCCATACAGGCTTCGTGGACTCCACCCCCACCCCAGGCCAAAGCCAAAGACACTGGGAAAGAAAAATCCCACCACCACCAAGGGAAGGTGGCTGGGACCTGAGGGTGGGGTTAAGCAGCCAGGTTGGTATAAAGGCAGACACGTGGGCTTTGGGGGGGGGGTCCCCCATTTTGACTCTCCGCCAGCTCTGAGAATGCCTTTGGGTTTCCAGGTCGTCGGATCGGGTAGGACGCATTAAAGACTTTATTTCCCTGTTTTCTCCCTGAGTTGTACATTTTCCTTATTTCCTTTTCCCTTGTAAATAAACCTTTTGTTAACCTTTTGTGTGTGCCTGTAGTGGAGTATTCATAAGTCCCTTTTAAGCGCGCGGGTGAGGACCCACAGCCAGGAACCCGTTCAATATCGGGGCTGTCCTACAACAGTTTCTTAGGGCAATACCAGCGTTGATAATACAGGGAACTAAGTGGAACTCAGGGCATCTGCTCCCCAGAGTGCTGGGCTTTCCACCCAACAGCCCCTTACTGTTAGGTGTTCTTGGAATACTTGCTCTTTCAAGTACTCTGACCATGTGCCCCTGGCGTGAGAAACTCAAATCATGAAAATAGAGATCAATGTGGGGCAGAAATAAGGGAGGCCTACAGATATATTCTTCCCTTCCATTTTATGTTTTTAATTTTTTGTTTCCATTTGAATCAGATACAAGTAGTTAGAAAAGTAGCTCCTTAACAATGCAAAGTCTTAATTGCTGCAGAAATGCCCGAAATTAGAGAACTCGGGTTAAGCTTTACATTTTTGGTAGAAAGGTAGAGAGACTTGAGTATTTCTTTTTTGTACTTAGAAAATATGTAACTAGTCTTAATAAGCTTTTCAATTCTGGTGTCTCAAACTTGTTTTCCAGAGTTTGTTGAAAGAAAGTACCAGATAAGTAGAATGTCATGGAGGAGGCGTGGAGAGAGACTTGGGAAAACGGGCTTTTTCTTCTTGACTCAGTTATAGGCTCTCAGGAGTCTTGAATTGCAATCGTCTTATCCTCAAAGGGCGAGCAATTGCTTTTAGCTTACTGTCCTTCACACACAGTTGTTGAGAGGACCAAAAGGAGACCAAAATTCTGTACTTGCAGAATTTGGTGTGGCACTAAAAGCTATACTAGTATGAGATGATAATTTATCAGCTCCAACAATAAGGAGACCTCTGAATGCAATAATACAGTGGAAGGAGTAGGTCAAGTTTCATATCTTAACTCTGCTACTAACTTGCTGTGTGGCCCGGAACCAAATTCCTTTTCTAATGAAGGCACCATACTTCTAGTAAAGGATCTGGAAAAATCTCTAACAGTTCTCAAAATTTACAAATAACCTTCTCCCAGTGATTGAATACAGCACCTCTAACGTCTAATTGTCTCAGTGTACTGACTTAGGGTGGTCAGAGATGTGTTCCTCCTCCCAAAAGAATTTAAGAGTGTGGTAACAAGACTTGGTATTACCCTGTACTATTTCTCTCTGACATCTGAGGACAATCCTCAGGTCACTCATTTAAAGACACTTTTAATTTGGGATGTGTAAGAACTGGGAGTGCCTGAAAGTGAAGCAGACACTCTTTCTCCTCATTAAGCTTTGTATAAAGGAAAATTCTTATTATGGACACAGAACACGCTCATTTCTTGGGATACAGGTAAAGTGTGTCCTGCTATGAAAGCAAATCAAAGCACTTTCCTTTCTTCCTTCCTTCCTTCCTGCCTTCCTTCCTATGTCTCTTGAAAAAAATCTGTAACAATTTTCAGATTAGCCTCATCCATTGAAAGCACAGTTCTTCCATACAGGTTGTGTAATACTGGGTCAACTTTGTAAAGTATCAGTGGGGCTAACAGGCAAATTCTTGGTCTTTGGTTGTTACTTTTCCAGAAGTGAAATACACTGTGTAATTTTGACTTCTCCCTCACTGACAATAGGTTAGTTAACACGAAAACTTTGATCAAGCCAGTAATTTTAGGATCTCAAAGATCTCATAATTAATGGTTATAAAGTCTTCACATAACTGTTACTAGGTTCTTGGGAACTACAACTTTAAGTGAAGGAAAGCAGTTCTTCAAATAACACAGGTTTCATTCAATGTCTGTTGGGGCTGTTTATTTCTCAACAGTGTTGTAACAAAATGATATTGAATGAAACTTATTGCAGGACATGCTATACTCTTGTAGGGTGATCTGGAGGCATAATTTAGGGTAGAGTAAGGGTCAAGGACAAGGAATAGAAAACACATCAGAAACTTGGCAAACTATTCTGCCTTTCTGCCTCTCCCTCATCACTATTGCTGTGGTGATATGTCCAACTTTTCGTGGTTCCCACCAATGAAGTAGAGAGTTTTTGAGTCCTGAGTTTAAGATAAAACAAAAAGCTAGTAAAGTCATTGGTGTCAACAAAATGAGCAATGAAAAGAACCTATTGTAAGAATTCACTGTCATGGTTGATATCAGAATCTGCGTAGGAAGCAATCATAATGTTTTCCTAGAACTTAGAGATACACATGCTCTGAGAAATTGATATCACACACACACACACACACACTGGAGGAGTTTAGCTATATACAGAAGTCACCCATTCTAAGAGACAATTGTACCTTTAGTTTAGTGTACAGTATAGTTCTGAAGTCAGAAAAGAGATAAGTTCAAACAAGGTGACTTGTTTGACTAGAATATAATAAAAGAAGAGGCAAGTTTTTTAAAGTAGTATTTGCACCACATTAATAAAATGTCTCTGGAAAGATACACAAGACACTTAAGAGTTGTGGGATCCCCTGGGGTGGGGACCTGGGTTACTTGGGCACAGTGTAAAGAGAGATTTTTCATTATATACCCTATTGCCCTTTTGGGTCATATGTGAATGAGTTCCCTAGTAAAAAAGCAAATGAGTATTTAAAAGACAGCACTTACTGATGTGTGGTTATCAAAATGAAGTTTTTAAAAAGGAAGCCAGAGTGTACAATCTACTAGGATCTATTTATACAGCTCTATCTAGGGATGGAATGAGAATATTCTGGTCCCTAGGAAGGTAAAACCTATCGAGGAAGAGTCATTTCATGAATTTTAATGAAATATTCTTCAAGACTATTCACCGCTTGCAGCTTCTGAAGTTACCAAACACCCTTCTCATTTCTTGGGAAGCTTGACATGGGGAAGGGGTTACCCTGAAGACTGAGCTTCAGCAACCTAGTGCCTAGGAAGGGAGCCACTTTACGTTGTAAAGTATTAAATTAACATAACTTTTCCTCCAGAGTTTGGTGCATATGTTGTTATAGCTCAGGCTTTGCTCTTATATTCCCCTTTTTAATATTCTCCTTGTCCTGCCTGCCTATTCAATTCTGAGAAAACCCAGTTGCTGGACCTGAAGTGCTGGGTGACCTGCTTGTTCCCACAGTACCAAGTTATCCTAACTCACAGCACTTTTCATACAGCCCTGGAATTGCCTGCCCATCTGTCTCACTGGGCTGTTGGCCCCAAAAGGGCAAAGAGCCGGTGTTATCCACCTTTGTCTCCCTCGCACAACTTCTGACAACACACATCCTCAATCTATAGTTCCATGAAGGGAGTGCCACTCTGAAAGCTTAGCTGAATAACTTGACCTCCCTCATTGATCTATCTCACAGTCTTTGATTTCAGCCTCCTTAAAATCTCCTGAAATCCTCTCACATATCCCTATTATTCAGATGATCTCCAAGTATTTCTAGCACCACTTTTTCCTGTCCACCTCTTTCAGATCTACATTTCCAGCTACCTGCAGGTCAGCGTGTTAGCCTAGGAGCTTCAATGCCAACTTTCTGCTATATCTTGGGCAAATCACTCCCTTCACCAAGCCTGAGATTTTCTCATCTGAAGTAAAAGCACAAATCACCAGAAAACCCACAAGGCCCCTTGAAGTTCTAAAAATGCTAGGCTTCTACATGGTATTTTGTTAGCACCTCAAATTCAGCCTGCCTGCGGTGGCACTTGCACCAGTCCTTGAAATTCTCTAGCATCTTTGTCTCCTCCCCCCTGATGTAGTCCTCCATAGCCAATAAATTGCAAAATCTTATGAAGGCAGACTTCACACCATTCTCTTACAGATGCTTTTAGGCTTTTTAGCAGCTGTCAATAGCTGGATTATAACTAGCTATTGTAACTGCCCAGCATTTCCCAATGAGGTGAATTCTTTCATCACACGACAGCTGCAAAACCTCTTCTTTCTCCAAGTATTTAAAATAATCTCAGCTTAAGTCAGCATTCAAACTGATCTGACTTTAACAAACTGAAGAAAAAACATCTAGAGTTTCCTTCAAGGAATCTTATTTCTTCTAGGTTTAAAGCAGTAAGCACAATTCTCATCTTTTAGGTCCTAAGCAAACCTAAATTAAAAAGGCAAAGTTCATTGTATCTGATAGTGTATTGTTATAATGAGTTTATGGCAGGCAAATTTTGTTAATGGAAAAAGAACAGCATCTGTTCAAGTCTCACCCCAGTCTTTTCTTTAATAACAGCTTTATTGGGTTATAGCTCATGTAGC